AAACATGGTTAAGGTCTTCAGCCTTCAGTGGCTGTATTAAGACTGACAATGGCGATTGGAGGTTCTCTGCGAAATAAGCTCTGCTTTCGGAAGGACATGCCTGCATCTCATATCACCAAAGGTCTCCTCGCGAGAAAATGATGATATCTGGGGCTTAACGTCCCAAAGCCACCAAATTATTATGAGAGACGCCGTATTGAAGGGCTCCGAAAATCTCGACCACCTAGAGTTCTTTACCATGCACCGAAATCTGAGCACATGGACCTACAGCATTTTCGCCTCCATTCGAAATGCAGCCGAGATGAAATCCCGCGCCCTGTGGAGTCAGCGCCCGAGTACCTTAGGCGCTACACCACCGCGGCGGGGCTCCTCGTGAGAAAAGGCTATTTGGATGAGCCCCCGGGCCAGGCGACAGCGTATAAGCGTTTTATGACCTGGTGTGCCACGACCAAGTTCTTAACGTACATTGTCTTGTCCTTCTTCGTCCAGCTTGGTTCTGGTGATAGGCCATTCCAGCTGAACCACTGTCCTCAGTATCTTCATCTGTGTACTTTGTAAACTAGCCACTTTAGCGAGAGCTCTATAGCCATCCCTCTACGCATATTCAGCAACCCGACCATGGTCACCACTGACCAGCACCAAATGGGACATCGTCACAACTAGCACAGGAAAAAGTTTGAGTTCATGGCTAAACACTTTGAGTGAATTCAGCGCGATACAACGGGGAACAGGTAATGACGGGACACGAGCATCAGCGCTAATCTCACAAATGACTTTATTAGCATATGAACATATATTTCAAAGCCCATTCTACGGCCACGTAAAAAGACGCTGACGACATCCAGTACACGATAAAAATAAGAAGTTAAATATGATTAAAAACTACTGCATTCTTTGGTTGGTAAGAACTTTATTGGAAGTCCGGCAGAGCTTTCGCCGACCAGACCTTAGGTCTCCCGCGTGGAGACGTCAAGACCTTGTCTGACTGCCGCCTCTCGGGCCTGCTGGATGGCCCAGAGTTGGTCACCGAAGCTAGGGCTGCACAGGGCAGCGGCCAACCACGGCGGAAGGGTTCCGGATTTACCACCTTGCGGATTTTTAGCGCAGTCCCAGAGCATGTGATTTAATGTGGCAACCTCACTATGGCATATCTTGCATATATTCGTCGAATATATATTGGGGTATAGTCTGTTAAACAGCGATGGGCTGGGATACGTGTGCGTCTACAGCTGTCGTAAAGACACCACCTGCATACTGTTCAGCTTCTCGCTGGTTGGAGGGAAGGTTCGGCAGGCCAGGTGGGAAGCCTTGATAATTTGATTATAAATCGTCAAACGGTCTTTGGTGTTTCCCCATAGAGGACGGTCGCCGGCGCGGTTCACGAGCTCTCGCGCCTTGGCATGTGCCATCTCGTTTAGGTTGTGGTGTGTCTCCGATACCTCTCCCATGTGAGCCGGGAACCACAGGAGTCTGGTTTGAAGCTTTGTCTTTTGATAAAATTTTCTATTACGCAGGACTTTGGCCGCTCGTTGTGAGATCCATCCTTTGGCGATGTTTCTTACTGCTTCCTTCGTAACAGAGGACAGTAGTGCATAACGCATCCGTGAGCGCGAGCGCCACTGCTACTTCCTCCGCTTCTTGTGCGTGGTCACATCGAATACTTGCTGATATTCTCGTTTCGCCTTTCCAATTGACGACCATGACTGCAAATCGCAAGCGGTCTGCGTATTGAGCGGCGTCAACGAACCGCAGTTCCCATTTCGTCGGCGTTAGTGCGCAAGAGAGCTCTTGTCCTGGCCACTCTTCTGCCCGGGTTGTGTTCCGGGTGAACGTTGCGTGGAATTGGCTCAACCCTTATCATTTGTCGGATCGCGTCTGGCACAGCGACTTTCTGGCTTTGTTCGGTGAAGTAACGGATGCCGAGACAGTCAGTCAGTCAGTCAAAGGAACTTTATTTGGTCCTGAGAAGACGAGAATGCCCCCGTCAGGAGGTACCGTCTGGGGGCCCCGCCCTCGATGGCACCGGGAGGTTAAAGCCCTCGGCGACCTCGCGGGCTCTCTGGACAGCCCTTAGCTGCTGGTCCTTTGCGGAGCTGGTGATAAGCTGGAGCCAGTCTTCCTCAGAAAAGGGAGACCCTGAGCCGCCGTGAGAGTCGTGACTCTGTCACAGCATGTGCTGGAGCCTGCATCTCGGTTGACCACAGCGCGGACAGCGTGGGTCTATTCCGTCTACGAATTTTGACCAAATAAACGGACATAAAATACGTGTTTGTTTGTAACATTCACAGGGTGATTGCCTGTGGTCTGTTTAGATGTGCGTGTGGAAGCGGAAACTTCCTACGTCATAGCTGATAGTGCTTACAGACCTCGTTGAAAGTGAGAAGAGGGTCCCTTTGCCACTGCCCTCCCTCAGCCTCCGAGTGCCCACTTCCGGCGCGGTGTGTGAGACCTCGCGCCTGGGAGTGTGCAAGTTCGTTGGCGTTTGGGATGGTTTCGTGAGCATCACTGCCCACATGACCAAGGAACCAAATTATATGCCTTTCGCCTGTCCAAGATGCTGCAGAGAGAACGCGTGTGGCTTCTTTGCACACCAAGCCTTTCATAAATACTCTAGTGGCGGCTCGCGAGTCCGTGTAAAATAGTAGAACGGTTCGTTGTGCCCATGGCGATGGCCACTGCCACCTGTTCAGCTTTGTCGGCATCCGAATTTTTGAGCGTAAGTGATGTCAGCAGCTCTCCTCGTAATGACGTAGCTGCTGAAACAAAATGATTGGAAGCTGCGTATTGCGCTGCGTCAACGAAGGCGACATTGTCCTCAATCGTAGCCGCTGTTTGAAAAAGGGCTCTGGCCCTTGCTTTGCGTCTGCCGCAGTTGTATTGGGGGTGCATGTTTCTAGGTACCTGAAATACTGTATACATTTCCCTGACTTTGATAAGGAGCACGGACTCCCTCTGTCTGGCAATGGGAGACCCTATACCAATATGTGCTAGTAACTGTCTGCCAGCCTCCATGGAAGCCAGTCTTGCAACTTGGGCAACCTGTTGTGCCTATACTATTTCGCTGAAGATGTTGTGGACACCCAGCGCCAACAGATGTTCTGTACTGGTGCTCTGTGGGAGACCCAGTACCTTTTTTATGTTCTTGCGAATTAGTCGTTCTAATCGGGCTTCATCCCTCCTGCTCCACTTGTGGGCCAGGGCGATGTAGTTGATGTGGCTCATTAGGAAGGCGTGAAAAAGTCTACGAAGGTTCTCCTTAGATAACCCCCTCATTTGTTGACCTACCTCGTGATTAATTTTGTCATGAAATTGTCTTTGGCTGCGGTGCGTTCTAATGTGCAGGCGTTACTGCCATCCTCCTCCAGGAACATACCGAGGACTCGAACTTTCTTTACGATCGGAACAATAGAACCATTCGTTGTGGTGATCAAGATATCGGGAAACTTCCTTTCTTTGCACCGATTGTTGGCCGGTAAAGGAGCAGTTTCGATTTATTAGCCGACAAGCAGAGTCCTGCCTTGTGAAGAAAATCTTCGACAACCCTGATCGCTGTTTGTAATCGCTCTTCAATTTGCCCATCAATACCTCCCTCGCACCAGACGATGATGTCGTCAGCGTAGAAAGCGTGACCGAGACTTTCAATCTCGGCCTGACTGTGGGAAAGTGCTCTCAGCGATAAGTTAAATAGAAATGGGGATAGCACTGCCCCTTGTGGAGTGCCTCTGGGTCCAAGATCAAACATCTTCAAGCCAAGAGATCCTAGGTGAATGGTAGCTTTTCTGTACTTAAGAAATGAGCTGATGTAGTTGTAAAAAAGTTCTCCTAGACCCGCTTCTTTAATGGAATGAAGTATGTGAGAGTGTTTGAACTTGTCGAAGGCCTTTTCCAGGTCAAGTGCCAGAACAGCTCTGGTGTTTCTGGAGACCCTGCCAATGATCTTGTGTTTTAAAAGCAACATTACATCCTGCGTTCACATGGACGGCCTGAATCCAATTAGATTAAATGGGAAGAGGTTCCTTTCCTCAGCCAATTTAGTGGCCCGCTTGAGGATAACGGTCTCGGCGACCTTCCCTACACATGAAGTGAGAGATATCGGCCGGAGCGAGCCAAGCTCCAGGGGTTTCTCTGGCTTCGGAATGACGATGACGGTCGTGTCGCGCCGCTCTATTGGAACCTCGCCGGTCTCCCACACCTCGTTGATTTTATTCGTTAGAAGGTCGATATCCTCGTCAGGTAAATTCTTTAAGAGTTCGTTACTGATCCCAGCGGGACCCTGAGCTGATCTGCCGTTAAGCTCATGTAGAACCTCTCGTACCTCTGCACACGTGAAGGGGGAACTAAGAGGGTCTGTTCCGTTCTCTGGCAAAGCAGGAGGGTAGTCATTGTGTGAGGCGGGTTCTGTGCAAAGATATCTCGAGGCGAGCTCATCGATAATTTATGTTTCTGTCAGACCAGAGTTCTTTAGGTTGTGGATAAGTCTGTCAATTGTAAGCTGCTGATTGGTTTTGAACTGTTTATCTCCCAGTAGATGTTTGAGGAGGTTCCACTTCGGACCACTCCTCATTTGCCTGTCGACGACATTGCATACTTCGTCCTATTGCTGTCGAGCTAGCGTTTCACTATGCTCATCTATCTGTCTATTAAGTTCAGCAATTTTTTGCGTAGGCATCGGTTAGTTTCTGCGTTTTCCATTGAGCCTGCAGCGAGTTTTTAGCTTCCGGAAGGTGGGCTAATCGACTGTCCATGCGCTTTATCTCTCTTTCTGTCTTCACTTCTTTTGTGGAAGCAGCAACGCCTTCTTTGAGGCGAATGATTAATTCGTTTAACGTGTTGTATTTATTCTCGTCTTGCTTTCTGACAGCTCTAAAAAGGTCCCAATCTGTTACGTGATTTTTTTGGGCGGTGGTGACGAGATTCTTATCGCGAAGTTGGTAATGTAGTGATCACTACTAAGATTCTCTTGTAAGTAAGTTCATAAGGGTTCCTCTGCATTTCTAACCATGGTCAAATCTGGTGTGGTATCCCTGCTGACCGAATTGCCTATTCTGGTGGGGTATTGTGGATCGGTGACCAATGTGAGACCACAAGCTATGATCTGTGCTGCGAGGGCTTTGCCTTTTGCGGTATCCTTGATATAGCCCCAATCTTGATGATGTGCGTTAAAGTCCCCTGCTATGATGAGCGTTCGATCACCTGCAATTTTACACGCTTTGTTGAAAAGAGCATAAAACGTCTCTTTTCTGTCGGCTGGTGAGCTGTAAACGTTTAAAATAAAAACGGATTGCTTAAGTTTAGCGTTCGGGATGAGCAAGATCATGATCTGTTCCATTTTTAAGTCCGGCCTAACGTCATGACGTAAATAGGCGAGATGCTTTGAGACGAGTGCCGCTATACCCCTCTTGCCCTCCTTGAAATACGCTTCTGCACGATAGTGATGAAGAGCGATGACATCGGTGAGCGTTTCCTGGAGGAGGATTACTGATGGCCTTTCGGTAGCAAAGCTAAAAAAGTGCTGCAGTACTGCCTTTCTTTTGCGGAAGCTGACGCAATTCCATTGCCAGATTACTAGATTACTTGCATTATCCATTTTACTGACTCGAAGGGGGTGTACCAAGCAGTGCGTGCTGCCTGTATGATTCCAAAATTTGAAGCCTCGCAGTGTGCTCGGTCAGTTGGAGCCTAATAGAAGTAATTTCAGCAATAACGTTGCAGTGTTTTGATTGTCATCACGGGACGGCTTTCTGCTCTCCCATAGTTGAGTACATCGTACTCTAAATCGTTAACAACTTTTTCTAAACACATAACGCCATTTCTTAGCTTTTCAAGCAGTGTTTGGATGCTTGAGACATCAAGCGCCTCCTCGTCCATGGGCTCAGGGCCTGCCCTGCGTTTCTCGCCTCTGTTGACAGATGCTGTGGCTGCGGTAGCTTGATCGCTAGACACACACTCTCGCTGCTGCATTTCTTGCAAGATTGACTTTAAATCAGCTAATTCCTGTCGGAAGAGGCGCGTTCTCGCGCTCTAGTGATTGTATTTTGTCTCGCATTTGCTGTGACAGTTGCCCTGGTTGCGCGGGGGCATGGGCCTCACCTGTTCCGGCTACCTTGTCCGCCCAGGTAAGTTGCGAGTTGAAGCCACCCCGGGAACTCCGAGAGCGTTCCTTGGAGCAGCCACAGCTGGTTGCTTGGTCGGAGTGGCGATTTCCCGGTCTCCGGCGTTGCTCGTACCGTTCTTCGTCTTGTGACCGCCTTTTCTTCTTTTTCTACGTCGCCTTCTTACAACGTAGGGAACTTGTTATCTGTTCTTGCAGGTACGGTCACCGGTGAGATAAGCGTCTCCGCATAGCGCGCACTTCGGTTGCACACATTCGTGTCCATTTGCGATTATCGAAGTCCCGTACTTTTCACACACTTTTTCAGTCGGTCTAGGGCAGACATCGTGCCTGTAGCCGATTCGGCCGCAGTTACGGCAAGTGTCGATTTGCCTCTTGTACAGTGTAAAGCGTTGGGGCCGCAGTGAACATAGTTGGGCACTTTCATGCCGTTGAAGAGTACAATCACGGTAGGGGTCTCCTTTATGCGCCTGACTCCGAGCACCATCCGGTTTCTAGCTGTGACAAAAAGGCTTTGCAAGCGCAGGTTCGGCCATATCGGTGTCGATGCCTCTGACCACACCTCTACAGGTATTTTCCGGAGGTGTATTGTAAGTCGAGATAGAGTGTTTTTTATCTGCCAAGAATATTTCCTGCACTTTGCAGTATGCATTGGGATTCGATTCGGAGGGTGTGCTTATAACGAAGATATTCTGCATGGCGTTCGCACACACGATATCCTTCGCGGCTGCCACTGGGGGCAGCCTGGCAGCCATTAAAATGCCTTGCGTGACCTTTAACTGACTGCATGTTCGCACGTCCAGCCCTCCCCCCGGGCGGACGACCACTCGAAAGTGCGATGTGGGCAGGTGCGGTAGCCTGGAGGCTGCGGCAACCTTTCTCAGCTGGCTGGCTTTAGCGGGGCCAACGTGGGTTCCAGTTTGCCTAGCCGAGTGCGTCTCGTGCTTGAAGCGGGTTTTATCTGCACTCCGCTTTATGTGGGCGGTAATCCAGCCGTTGGACTCGGCTTCTTCCTTGGAGATTTGCTCTCCTTCTACCATAGCCTCATGAGGCATGGCCTCCTCGGGGGTCGGCCGAACAAGCGGCCGCGCGTTCCGCCTTTCCGCGCTGCGGCGCCCGATGCTGTGTATAAGCACAAATAGGCCTAACCCTTGGTGTCGGAGAAAGCACCCACAAAAGAGGTTCCAGTGGACCTACCGTGATTAATGGGGTATCCAGGTGCTTCCTTGAAACTTCCCGGAGTTACTCCAGTAGAAATCTCAGAGGGAAAGCACATCAGACTCACTTTAACAACGTCAGTTGGCGGAGCCGATGCAGACTGCGTCCGCAAGCCACTTCACCACCTAGCGTCTCCCACCCACACCCAATAACTGGCGTTGTGACCGCGTTTTGCTGTGATCTGTTTTGAGTGTACTCTGTTACGCAAGTCGGATGCCGAGACTTTCCATGATCTAGCGTACCACTGTCGTGCCCGATAGTCTTTCCAGTTGTGAAGTGCGCTGCGCCTCGGCTATTTCGCTTAACGTGTTGTGAAGTCCAAGTTGAAGCAGCAGGTGCATGCAGGTGGACTCGGGTAGACCCAGTGCCACGTTGTACACTCTGCGGATAAGGACGTTGATCTTGGCTTCTTCTGCCTTGTACCAGTTGTGAAATGCCGCAATGTACGCAATATGACACATGACGAAAGAATGTATAGGTCATATGAGACTATCCTCTCTCATTCCGCTCTTCTGCTAGTGACCCTCTTGAGAACTCTCATGGCGTTTGTAGTCTTGTGCTTTAGTTCAGTGATCGTTTCACCGCTAGCTCCATTTGCCTTCGATTATCATACCGAAGACCCTTATTCTTTTTACTATCGGGATCGTTGCTCCGTTATTCGTGCGTAGCCTGATCCCTTCGTATTCTTGTCTGGTCCTCGCCGCCATTCCTCTAGGCCATAGTGGCCTACCTCTGTGTGTGGGGCGGTACAGCAGGAGTTCGGACTTCTTCGGTGAGCATCGTGGTCCTGTTCCATCGAGATATTCCTCTACTGTGTCGATTGCTAGTTGTAACGCCGTTTCGACGTGGTCATCACTGCCTCGGTGCACCCAGATAGTAATGTCGTCGGCGTAGATTGAGTGCCGGACGTCTTCAATTGCTTGCAGTTTTTTACCGAGCCCATTATGACTAGGTTAAAGAGTATGGGCGAGATTACCTATTCTTGTGGTGTGCCAGTGCTTCCCAACATTTGCTCTTCTAGTTGGAGGTTTCCTGCCACCTAGAACGGTTCGCCTGTCCGTCAAGAAATCTTTTACGTAGTTGTACGCACCTAGACTGAGGTTTTGTCGAGATATTTGGTGCAGTATCGCCGAGTGCTCGATTTTATCAAGCGCGCTCTCGAGGTCGAGGCCTGAATTGCCCTGGTCCCTTTCGTGTTGCCATCGAGTACGTGATGTTTCAACTGTAGCATTGCATCTTGTGTGGATAACTGTGGGCGGAATCCGATGATCGATGATGGATATGCCCCTTTTTGCTCTAGATAGGCTTGGCAGCGGTTAAGTCGAGCGTGCTTCCATAGCCTTGCCTACACACGACGTCAGCGATATGGGGCGAAGATTGTCGATGCTCAGCGCTTTCCCGGGTTTCGGGATAAGGAGAATTCTCGCAGTATTCACTGTTCCGGCAAGCCGCTGCACGAATCGGTCAAGACTTTTTAGAGCATGATTCGACATCCTATCTAGACCCGGCGCCGATCTGCTATTGAGACTATGCAGCGCCGTCCTGATCTCTTCTACGCTGAAGACCTTATCCAGTTCTTTGTTAGCATCCCCCTCGTATGGGTGGTGCGGAACAGATGAAGTGTGTGGTAAGTACTTCGCCCGTAAACTGGCAGCCACTGAATCTTTACCAAGTTTTTCGATCTCCTTGTGTAACAGACGGGCAAGGCAGTCCCTCTGGTGTGACTTGGTCTTCGTTTCGTCCAGGAGGTACTTGAGCAGGTGCCACGCTTTGCCATTGTGTAGTTGCCCGTCCACTGAATTACACAACTTGTTCCATTGCTGGCGGTTGAGAATGTGGCAGTGTTCCTCGATGTTGTGGTTAATCGCCGCTATTTTCGTTCAGGGTCTTCAATTGAGCATCTGTCCTTTCCATCTGGCTAAGATAGAGCCTCAATGAGATGCGCCAGGCGGCTGTCCATCTTGTCCGCTTCAATCGCCGTTTCAGTTTTTTTGGTTGAAGCTTTGGTGTACGCTACCAGTGAGTGGGACCACGCTTCAATGTCCACGATTTTATCTGCTGTAGATTTTTGTTGCCCTCGTTTCTTTCTGAAATCGTCACAATCAGTACTTTCAAATCTGCGTTCACTGTTCTGCGCTTTTCTCCGACGTCGAAACGCGAATTTCGATAATCATGTGGTCACTACCCAGGTCGGCAGATGTGTTTTTCCACGTGGTAGCTGCCGCCCCGGCATTTCTTACGAAGGTCAAGTCCGGAACCGTGTCCCTGGTGGTGGAGTTGCCTATTCTTGTCGGGTGTGCAGGATCCGTAATTGGAGTGAAGTTGAGCTCTTGCGCGTCTTGGCCTAGTTGTCTTCCCTTGACCGTGCTGTATCCGTAACCCCACACCGGGTCTGCCGCATTGAAATCACCACTTACAACAAGCGTCTGAGACCCAGCAATATTGAGCGTCTTCTGAAGCAACGCCCTAAATCGTTGACGCTGCTTCGACGGGCTACTATAAACATTCAATAGAAATATGCTTTCTTTCTTTCGTTTAGTGGGGACTAGTTCGATGAGAGCGTGTTCCATCTGGACGCCACTTAGTTCATTGCGTACGAACGTGAGACGCTTCCTTACGAGCGTGCATAAACCCCTTTCCTCGATTTTGCTGCTGTGCGAATTGTAGTCTGTTAAGGCAGCCGCGTTTGTAAGCGTTTGTTGAAGTAACATAACATCTGGTTTTTGTGTTGAGTGCCTAATGTGTTGCTGTACAACTGCCTTTTTTTCCGGCGAAGCCACGGCAATTCCACTGCCATATGACCATCTCTTGAGCAGCGTTAACCATGATGCGGGTTTAGGTTACCCGGCTGCCTTGGGAGGGTGCTCAGTCCCGCGTCGCTGCGCGCCGCTACGTGTCCGTGTTGCGTGAACACGGGTTGATTCATTGTCATCTGCATGCTTCTCTCGTGTTCAGTGGTCCTATTTGCAAGTCTGAGGACAGTTGCGTGTAGCGTCTCAAAGGAGCTTTGCATATTGCACAGCATTTTCTTGATGTCAATAATTTCAGCTCGTACTGGATCTCAGAATCTTCTTCGTGTAGTGGTTGAATCGCCCGTTTTTTCGAAGCTGGAGCACCTGCGTCTGAATCAGAGTCTGAAGCACCCACGTCTGGAACGCTCGTCGCCACCGGGTGGTTTTTGGTATGTTTGTTTTGTCCCGACACGGCACGCTCGCGTCTGAGTTCTTGCACCTCTTGGGTTAGCTTTTGGACTAGCTCGCGCATTACCGCGTTCTCTTTTCTTAGTTCATCTATAATGGCAGTATTGATCAAATTTGTTTGCTCTGAAGCTGTAGGTGCTTTACCGACCCCCTCACATGCGGTGCCCCGGACTTTGTCCGCCCAGCTCACCTTGGCTACTGGAGCTGGCGTCGTGGACCTTGAACCTCTCGGTGATCGTGTGAGCCTTGTATTGCTGTGAGACCGGGACTGGCTACGCGAGTGCGACCTTGATTCCGATGCGGCCGTCTCGCTGAGCAGGTAGTCTTGCTGCTTCCATTGGTTATCAGCTGATCGGTGCTCCCATCGGCGTCTGCGTATCACGTATGGAGTCTTGTACCTTCCTCTGCAGTTTTTGTCGGTGATCATATGGGTGCCACCACACAGGTTACACTTGGGCGAGCACTGGTGTTGTCGGCTGGGGTTGAGGAGGCCGCAGCCACGGCTGATGCGATTAGTGGGATTCGGGCAAACTTCCATACAGTGGCCGAGGCGGCCGCATTGGTAACCGATGTCTATTTTTTTGCGATACAGAGTGCAAAGAATGAGCGTTGCGCCATACCTGACGAACTTGGGCACTCTGAGTCCGTCGAACGCGATAACAGCCGTGGATGTATTGCCTATGCGTTTGGCCGCCAATGCCAACGTGTTTCTTGGTTTACGATGCTCTGGTTCAGCACTCGATGTCCGTTCTCAAGAGGAATGCCTCGAGCACCCTTGGTTATATTGTCGGGTGCCGTTTCATACGCGTTGACTTCATGGAGTTTTTCTTGGAAGGATATCTGCCATATTCTGGCGTAGCGGTCGGCGTTTACTCGTTTCGGAGTGCTGATGACGACGATGTTCTGGTGGACATTCGGACAGACCGTGTCCTCTGCGCTTCTTCTTCCGTCATACTGGCAGCCGCAAAGATTGCCGCGGGGACTATTGAGGCGCCGACCTTGACAATGTCGAGGCCGCCTTGTGGTCGCACCACAATTTTGATATCGTCTTTCGGACTCCTGCATCGGGTGACAGAACATTTCAAGCAAGCAATTTTTCTTTCTTGAAAGGCATGCTTAGACAAACGGTGCCTTTTTTCTGAATGTAAAAAAGCTTCCGTAATATTTCTAATAGCCTGATTCACATGCGAAAAAATACACGCAGTGTCATCAAATATCGCTATGCACTCATGTTCATTACAATGTTTTGCAAATTTAAGTAAGGGTTGACTACTGGTCGGCGTTCTCATTTCACAAATCTAATTTTGAGATAGCGGCCCGTTCAGCCTATATGAAACAGATTGCACAATGCAGCCCCTTGGTACTGTATATTCCCACTGTGCATGGAACTATCGCAGACACAAGTTTTACCTCGCAACGTTTTTATCCCCTGGTGCTTTAGGGGCGAAGCTCCTTAAGGCGTGAGTCTGTACATCCTCCTATGTATGATGTAGTAGCAGTAGGTAGCCACCGGGAGCACATACCAGCTCTAGAGCGGGTATGTGCCACAGTAGATGCGAGATGGGAAATACCCGTACTTCACTATATGCATGCACGGACAGACGCAAAGGTGGACGGACAGACAGACTAGCAGACGGACGCGTGGACGCACGGACGGATGAACGCATGAACGTATAGACAGGTGGATACATGAACTCATGCACGGACGCATGGACGGTTGCGAGGACGGACGAGCGCAAAAACGAACGGATGGATGGAAGCATGAACGGGTTGTCGGATGCCTCGCCGCACTCATCATCATTCACTCCATGGATATGCTGTGATTTTTTTTCTTCGTACAAGCTTGTGATAAAACTGCACAATTTCTATTTCGTTTTATTTGGGGGAAAAGGCAAACTCTATTGTTTAGTTTTACTACAGTATTTTTTAGGACAACTGTGCTGGATGTACAGATCAAAGCACAGACCTATGCTTCCTTATAAAAAGCCTATATTTGTCACAAAATATTTCAGTAAACCCATCGCCTGAAGTGTTCGACAATTTTTTTCTTCCTTCTTTTTGTACTGCCAGGAGAAGGCATAAATGTGGTTCCCAAAAAAAGGCTGACAAAGCCTGTCTAATTGAGGGCGTGTGAAAAATAGGCAAAGCCAGATTTTACAATAATATTTATTATTAGAGCACAACTGCCCTCTAATTTTTTGGCGCCGTAGTTATTTGTCGCTGCCACCAGCACCGTCGTCCGTAACCGATATCGTGCGAAACAAAAGAAAACAGAGAAACAAAATGGGGAACAACATTCATCATGAAACGTGATTGGAACCTGCACCTTGTGTGTGGCAACCGAGTATTTTATGCCACACAGTTATGCCACCTTTCTATTTGGTGCCTGTCTTTGGCACACATGAATGTATTCAATTTAAGCAATCTATATATTCATAAATAAACGCTCAACATAATGAAAACAATGTTTAAAACGACAATCCCAACTGCCTGAATGCGCATATTGCAGAACGTCTTCATCATCATTATTAATTTAACGTGTGTCAACCACACCGAAGCACATATCAGAAATTAGATTAGAGTGTCTTTGTTAAGAGACAAAATCATATTTTAACCACCCCTGTCACCCGCTTGAAAAACAGTAAAGTAAGTGAAGTGCGTAATTATAACGTCCATGCAATAGAGCGAGACGTGAAAAGGCATGACAACTACAATGCAGCCTAAATATACTTTGTATAAACATAGCAACATGTGCGCACTAGGAGACAAGGGGAAAATAAATTTATGAATTTGATTGACCAGATAAGATGGCTTGCAAAATTAACTACGTAATGCACCCAGAAGGCCTGAATGGCTCTTATATTGTGCTTCAAAAAACATGCGCCTAATTGTTTGTCTCTGAATGAAACAGACGCTTGCCACGGGACTCCAACCTAAAATTATTTTTGGAGGGATTCCATTCGTCGTCATCACGAAAAGCTAGTATTTCGAGCAATGGCGACTGTGACAGCAGCTGCACCAGTAGCAACAGCAAGTTTTGAAGCAAATAAACTTGGTAGGGAGCTTCGCTTAATGCATGAGTTAGTTATTCAACCTGCCTCATTATATATTGTTTCGGAATATATCGCTCAAGTCTCTTATCTCTGAAAATTTTTCATGTTCTTCCACTGCTAAAAAATCAACAATAATTTTGCCATGTTTTCAATTACAAGGACTCTGAAAACACAAAAATGATTGGGTAGTCTAGACAGTAGACATTGTGCTAAGAGCGATCGTTTTTGTTGTTCTACAAAAACCTTGTTAGTCTGTGTATGTCTCATGTGTACATGTCGTCTAGCTGAGCCTTCAACATAGCTTATCGAATACCTACCGCTTCAGTAAAGTGCAATGTCTTTCTTGCAGGGGCTCATTTGAAATTTCATTGGATAACAGAAGCAGAAAAGTATTTAAAAGGCCACGAGCCAGCGTATCTGCTGAACTACTCAGATACACCTGCAGCTACAGCGAAAGTCGACTACAGCAAAGCAAGTCCGCTGTCTGGTAAGTCTTCAGGTATACGGTCTCTGTGCTTTTATATACCGATATTCTGGAAGCATCAATCATTGTGAGTGAAATTTTACCTGAGTGCCTTTCTTTCAAAACAGGTTCGAAGATTTACCTGTCGGCGATAATGAAGATCTTCACAGCCTTCACTTTGCTGGCCATTCTCAGCGGTAAGCTTAAACCTGCGCTTGAAACGTCCGTGTCAACAAAAAAAATAAAACAGAGATGTGCTTCGAGGGCCGGTGTTCAGCAAGCTATAGTATAAGTAAAGCACGATATCTTGACCTTTACAAGATAAGTTTTGGCTATTGGCTAGTTACGGTCACACATGCAACTTTTGTTTCATCGCTTGCTCTGGATAACAAACTAACAATGATTCTGACCAGGTAAACTAAAATAGAACAAAGATTGCCCCTGCAAGCAACAGCTAAAACGCGAGGCTGAATGGTCGCGCAATTCTCATACTAGCGTTATTTCAGTGCTTGCAGTTCTACATTTCGCAAGTGCAGAGGAAGGACTGGACCAGCACCATCGAGTCTGTAAGTAGAATGCGCTGTTATCTTCCTGGAAAATCACCTCTTTTTAACCACTGTGTTTCAGTTACCCAACGCTACCTCATGACTCTTATAGTATCAGCTTTTTTGTTGGCGTTGATACTCCTCAAGTTCAACGCGTTACTTAATCCTTGATCCCAAGCATAAGGACGATTGCACTGCATACCAAAAATGTGTGGCATCATATACTGCTCTTTGGTTTCCTAAATTCGTACTAGACGATGTGACTTTTCAACGACTTCCACGCTGAACGGTTTTACTCATTTATTTTTGGTAGTATATTCATAGTGACATCCCTTTTTATTGACAAACCACTACAAGTTTGTCCAATGAATTTATGAAAAGGTTGCTCAGCAAGGAACTCTGTCACAGCAGTAACAATACTGTCACGGGGGTGAGAGAATGAATGAAGTAAATATATTTACAAAATGTACAGGCAGAGTCAGAGGCAGCTGCAGCCAAGATGGAAGAACAGCAGCATTAACAACACGAACACGGTCGCTTTCATCGTGTTCGTCGTCTAGGATGCTCTTTCGTTGCCGATGTCGTGTAATATATATCCCCCCGCTGCTGGCAGCGCCGTCTCGGCGCCTAAAGGAGAGTAGGATCATATGCTGATATGTACGGTTTGAGGCGGCTCACGTTGACGACATCAGTAGTGAGTGCGGACGACGATGATTGACTTTCTAACGGAGCAATCTTGTATGTGACATCGGTAAGCCAGCGTAAAACCTTGTAAGGCCCCGAGTAGTAAGACAAGAGCTTCGAAGAGAAGCCAACGTGATGGCATGGTGTCCAGAGGAGAACCAATGAACCTGGAGAGTAGGAAACTACTATGTGATGGCTATCGTAGCGGGCCTTCTGAGAGAGCTGCGAGCCAAGAAGACGTTCCCGTGCGATTTGGCGGGCCACTTGAGCCCGAGCAGTGGCATCTCGGGCTACTCTGTAACCGTTTGCGTAGTTGATGGGAGCAGAGTCTCGAAGGGTACCGCTGGATGGCGGCCGAACAATAAATACAAGGGGAAGAAGCCAGCGGTGTCGTGGCGTGACAAATTGTACGCGAATGTCACATAAGGCAACGTACTATCCCAATCAAGGTGATCCTTGGAAACGTACATGGAGAGCATTGTTGTCAATGTTCGGTTTAGGCGCTCGGTAAGACCATTTGTTTGTGGGTGATAGGCTGTAGTGAGCTTGTGACGCGTCGAACACGAGCGAAGGATGTCACTTACTACTTTTGAAAGAAATTAGCGACCACGATCAGTCAGCAGCTGTCGAGGAGCGCCATGGTGAAGAATTACGTCATGAAGCAAGAAGTCAGCGACGTCAGTGACACAGCTTGTCGGTAGCGCTCGTGTGATAGCGTATCTTGTGTCGTAATCAGTGGCTATGGCTATCCACTTGTTTCCAGTGAGAGAAGTAGGAAATGGTCCAACAAGATCAAGACCGACGCAGTAGAAGGGGACGGACGTGGGTATGTCTATTGGTTGGAGCAGACCAGCTGGTGGCAAGGTGGAATGTTTGGAGCGCTGGCAGGACTCATATGCAGCAACGTATCGGCGCACAGAATGGTAAAGGCCTGGCCAGAAGAATCTACGCCGCACGCGATCCTACGTGCGCGTGACCCCGAGATGTCCCGCGGTTGGGGCGTCGTGAAACTGTTCAAGTACAGCGGAACGGAGTGTCGCAGAAACTACGAGTAGTGGCTCTGGTCCTTCGGCGCTCGTGTTGCATCGGTAAAGAATGCCATCGCGTAGAACGAACAAGTGTAGCGATGGGTCTACGTGGGGCGAGCGTAGATTCTGCATGATAGACCCGCAAGTGGGACGTTCGCTGGGCGCTCTCTTGCGTATGTCGATGACAGCCGACATGGCGAAGACACAAGGGGTCAGAATCATTTGCGTGAAAGGTCATGTGGGTTCCACGGGGGTGATGGGATCAGACAGTCGGCATCCTGGTGCATTCGTCCAGATTTGTATGCCACGGTCGAAGCTGTTATTCTTGTAGTTTTCAAGGCCCAACTGGCCAAGTCGTCCCTGTTGGATCTTTAAGGGGACGGACCAGCCAGCACAAGGCAGGTGATCTGTAATTATCAGAAAAAGTGCGGCCAAACAAAGTATGGTCCCGAAATTGTCCGACTGTGCCCAGACTAGTCGACGGCACTCACAGCTCTGTAGATGGAAAACTTGCTCTCCAAAGAGAAAAGGAGGGTTGACTACTGGTCGGCGTTCTCATTTCACAAATCTAATTTTGAGATAGCGGCCCGTTCAGCCTATATGAAACAGATTGCACAATGCAGCCCCTTGGTACTGTATATTCCAACTGTGCATGAAACTATCGCAGACACAAGCTTTACCTCGCAACGTTTTTATCCCCTGGTGCTTTAGGGGCGAAGCTCCTTAAGGCGTGAGTCTGTACTTCCTCCTATGTATGCTGTAGTAGTAGTAGGTAGCCACCGGGGGCACATACCAGCTCTAGAGTGGGTATGTGCCACAGTAGTTGCGAGATGGGAAATACCGGTACTTCACTATATGGATGCACGGACAGACGCAAAGATGGACGGACAGACAGACTAGCAGACGGACGCGTGGACGCACGGACGGATGGATAGATGATAGACAGGTGGATAGATGAACTCATGGACGGACGCATGGACGGTTGCGAGGACGGACGGGCGCAAAAACGAACGGATGGACGGACGCATGAACGGGCTGTCGGATGCCTCGCCACACTCATCATCATTCACTCCAAGGATATGCTGTTATTTTTTTCTTCATACAAGCTTGTGATAATTACTACACAATTTCTATTTCGCTTTATTTGGGGGAAAGGCAAACTCTAACGTTTAATTTTACTACAGTATTTTTTAGGACAACTGTGCTGGATGTACAGATCAAAGTACAGGCCTATGCTTCCTCATAAAATGCCTATATTTGTCATCAAATATTTCAGTAAACCCTTCGCCTGAAATGTTCGACAATTGTTTTCTTCCTTCTTTTTGTACTGCCAGGAGAAGGCATAAATGTGGTTCCCAAAAAAGGGCTGACAAAGCCTGTCTAATTGAGGGCGTGTGAAAAATAGGCAAAGCCAGATTTTACAATAATATTTATTATTAGACCACAACTGCCCTCATTTTTTTTTTTTTGGCGCCGGAGTTATTTGTCGCTGCCACCGGCACCGTCGTCCGTGACCGATATCGTGCGAAACAAAAGAAAACCGAGAAACAAAATGGGGAACAACATTCATCATGAAACGTGATTGGAACCTGCACCTTGTGTGTGGCAACCGAGTATTTTATGCCACACAGCTATGCCACTTTTCTATTTGGTGCCTGTCTTTGGCACACATGAATGTATTCAACCTAAGCAATCTATATATTAACAAATAAACGCTGAACATAATGAAAACAATGTTTAAAACGACAATCCCAACTGCTCGAGTGCGCATATTTCAGAACGTCTTCATCATCATTATTAATTGAACGTGTGTCAACCACACTGGTGCACATACCAAAGATTATATCAGAGTGCCTTCGTTAAAAGACAAAATCATATTTTAACCACCCCTGTCACCTGTTTGAAAAACAGTAAAATAAGTGAAGTGCGTAATTATAACGTTCATGCAATAGAGTGAGACGTGAAAAGGAATGACAACTACAATGCAGCCTAAATATACTTTGTATAAACATAGCAACATGTGCGCACTAGGAGACAAGGGGAAAAGAACATTATGAATTTGATTGACCAGATAAGACGGCTTGCAAAATTAACTATGTAATGCGCCCAGAAGGCCTGAATGGTTTTTATATTGTGCTTCAAAAAACATGCGCCTAATTGTTTGTCTCTGAATGAAACAGACACTTGCCATGGGACTCCAACCTAAAATAATTTTTGGTGGGATTCCATTCGTCGTCATCACGAAAATCTAGTATTTCGAGTGATAGCGACTGTGACAGCAGCTGCACCAGTAGCAACAGCAAGTTTTGAAGCAAATAAACTTGGTAGGGAGCTTCGCTTAATGCATGAGTTAGTTATTCAACCTGCCTCACTATATATTGCTTCTGAATATATCGCTCAAGTCTCTTATCTCTGAAAATTTCCCATGCTTTTCCACTGCTAAAAAATCAACAATAATTTTGCCAAGTTTTCAATTACAAGGACCCTGAAAACACAAAAATGATTGGGTAGTCTAGACAGTAGACAATGTGCTAAGAGCGATCGTTTTTGTTGTTCTACAAAACCTTGTTAGTCTGTGTATGTCTCATGTGTACATGTCGCCTAGCTGAGCCTTCAACATAGCTTATCGAATACCTACCACTTCAGTAAAGTGCAATGTCCTTCTTGCAGGGGCTCATTTGAAATTTCATTGGATAACAGAAGCAGAAAAGTATTTAAAAGGCCACGAGCCAGCGTATCTGCTGAACTACTCAACTACACCTGCAGCTACAGCAAAAGTCGGCTACAGCAAAGCAATTCCGCTGTCTGGTAAGTCTTTAGGTATACGGTCTCTGTGCTTTTATATACCAATATTCTGGAGGCATCAATCATTGTGAGTGAAATTTTACCTGAGTGCCTTTCTTTAAAAACAGGTTCGAAGATACACCTGTCTGCGATAATGAAGATCTTCACAACCTTCACTTTGCTGGCCATTCTCAGCGGTAAGCTTAAACCTGCGCTTGAAACGTCCGTGTCAACAAAAAAAAACAAAACAGAGATGTGCTTCGAGGGCCGATGTTCAGCAAGCTATAGTATAAGTAAAGCGTGATACCTTGACCTTTACAAGATAAGTTTTGGCTATTGGCTAGTTACGGTCACACATGCAACTTTTGTTTCATCGCTTGCTCTGGATAACAAACTAACAATGATTCTGACCAGGTAAACTAAAATATAACAAAGACTGTCCCTGCAAGCAACAGCTAAAACGCGAGGCTAAATGGTCGCGCAATTCTCATACTGGCGTTATTTCAGTGCTTGCAGTTCTACATTTCGCAAGTGCAGAGGAAGGACTGGACCAGCACCATCGAGTCTGT